CTGTACTTTCTAGGTAGAGATTCCCAACTGGGTTTCTTGAAAAACATCTGATTTTTATTTGTTTGAATAATAAGACAAATACATGTCTGCCATTTGGTGATTTTTAAATTTCCACTATCCAGATTGAAAGTGTCAAAAAACAAAACTCCTAATGTATTAGTATTTCAGCACTGTAACTCCTAATATATTAGTACTTCAGCACTTTAAAACTGACAGAAAAATTGGAAAACACCCTGCACTTTTGTTTAACAGTTAAAACATTTTCAGGATGTGAAGCCTGCAACTCAAGTGTGTCAGGGTAAATTCTAACCCAGGATGGAATAGCCTTTACTCATTTCTGTTACTGTTGTTATTAGTTTTGTTATGCAACATATTACAAAATTGTATCTGTTAAATAAGTACAACACAATTGTATTGTAGCATAGTTCTTACAAAGCATAATATTTTATACAAAATAAAATTTTGGTTATTAATGCCAAGATATGTTTTCTCTCTTTTTGATGCAATTGATATTTTTTCTTGTAAGGTTTTTAGTCTTCCTATAGCAAAGAGTGAAAGTAAAGTGTCAGTCCTGAAGGGACAAACTAATAACCTCTTGGTAAAGTTTATTGCAGGTTAAATCCTTTTTTAATTAAACTGACAATTTGCTTAAATTGCTGCATTAGATTGTGATTACATTTAGATGGAAGTCTTGCTGTAGAGTGCCAAAGGATGATAGTTTGTTTGTGGTTTAAATAACTCAAGTACCTTATTGAATACCATGGAATAAATAGTTCATTTTTTAGAGAATTATAAATTGGATTTTGTCTTGTTTTGTTTCAATTTGATGCTTTTGTACTCATACTTAAGCTGCTGGGGCTTTCAGGACTGTACCATCCTTCCCCACCTGCCTTCTGCATCCTGCCCTACCCTCACTGAGGCAAATCCTGGCATAGAATTAGCACTTGGGGATTGGGGGAGGGGAGAGAGAGAGAGAGATTGAGAGTGTGTGTGTGTGTGTGTGTGTGTGTGTGTGTGTGTGTGTGTATTAAGCACAGCATTCTGCTAAATGAACCTGCATAGGTAGATAACTTTCTTTCCTGTAAATACTTGGATTATCACTAAAAATGTAGCAAAAGGCAGGAGTTATTTCATGTATAGTTTTACCTAGATCTAAGTTCTAGTCCAAAATCAAAAGGTAATGCACGCTTGTAATCCCAGCAGCTTGGGAGGCTGAGGCAGGAGGATGGTGAGTTCAGCAAAAGCGATGCACTAAGCAACTCAGACCCTGTGTCTAAATAAAATACAAAATAGGGCTGGTCGAATGCCCCTGAGTTCAATCCCTGGTACACACACACACCCACACACACCAAAAAAAGGCAATCTGTTGAGTTTTCAGTACAGTTTTGTATTGAAAGCTTTCCAAATAGTAAATGATAAATTATTCATTGAACGGAAGAAATTTATAGAATGGAGGCCTTAGCTGTTAATATTTACCAAAAACATTGCAGAACTTTGCGCAAAGGGGAGGAAGTGGAAGGGAGAAGGTATGGGGGCAGGAAAAACGGTGGAGTATGAGGAACATTGTTACCCTAGGTTCATCTATGACTGCACATATGGTACATTATTACCCTATGTTCATCTATGACTGCACATATGGTGCGACGCTACATTGTGTACAATCAGAAATGAAAAGTTGTGCTTAATTTGTGTATAATGAATCAAAATGCATTCTGCTGTCATGTATACCCAATTTAAATAAATTAATTTAAAAAATTAATTTTAAAAAAAGTTTGAGCTATATACTTTTATATTGCCTTGCTTTATAAAATTGACTTCTGCCTTTTATCCAACAGGAACAAGCTGAAAGCTGGATACCTAATGTCAGTGGAGTCTTCTGCGGACTTCCTAGATGAAGTTGGATGTCAAGCTCTAGTTGCTGGTTCTTACATACCACCAAGCACACTCCTTCAGCAAATTGACTCTGTAGCTAACAATGATGTCATAAATGTAAGCAAATGAAATTTTATGGTGTAGCATGAGAAAATTTAACCTTATTGATCAATTTCAGAAGAAACGCATAAGCTTCCTTGGGCTCTATGTTGTTCTCATGCCTCACTACCTATGTAGACACGGGGGCTTATCATTAGATCTGCAGATAGCTTCCTTGTCAACTCAGGCCTATGTGTGTGTATCTTCCTTGTTCGAATAAATTATCATTAGGTTAAACCATTTTAAAATCTGTAGGTCAGGAAGAGCCAAATACTGTCTCATAGGATCGGCCTAAATAGTAGTGGTATTCAACTAAGAAATAAACAAGGGCTAGGGTTGTGGCTCAGCGGCAGAGCACTCACCTAGCATGTGTGAGGCCCTGGATTCGATCCACATAAAAATGAATAAATAAATAAAATGAAGATATTTTAAAAATAATAATAATAAACAAACTCCATCCTGCCAGACCTTCCATCATCCAGCATTTCAGGATTTTCTTTATTCTTTTTAGCCTAAGACCTTCTCCCACTTTTGGCATTTTTCCCCCACACATAAGACTGACTTGTTTTGAGGGCTAGGACTATGTCTAGACTATGTCTCATACTTTTTTGTATTCTCTAGTATGCCTAAAAAGCACAAGAGCTACAGAGTATATCTAAAGTCATTGGGTTTTCCCATGTTTTTCTACATTAAGAAATGTCAACTCCTTTTTTTTTTTTTTGTAGATGTCTCAACTATCTTCTCACCAACAAATCTACCTTATACATGGACAATTAGATTATTTTTTAAAGAGACAGAGAAGTTTGTTTACCTTGAGATAATAACTCTAACTTCATTCACTTGCCCCCAAGTTCATCATTACATACTCTGCTAAGTGGCTGACCTAATCTTACATTCAAGAGTGTGCAGCCCAGCTGCCTCCCTCACCATCTCTCCTCCATTAGGAAAGCTGCCTGAGATAATGGGGACAAGGCTGGGGGAGCTGCTGCTATACCTAGACCTGACTTTTACTGCACTTAACCTAAATATAAATAACTAGGCTTTGAATCTGAAATAGTGGCATAAAGAAAACTAAAGAGGATGGGACTGTGTTTGTAGTGCTTGCCTAGCACATGTGAGGCACTGAGTTCGAGCCTTAACACCACATAAAAATAAATAAAATGTGTGTCCATCTACAACTAAAAATATTTTTTTTAAAAAAAGAAAGAAAAGTAGAGCACTTGCCTAGCATGTGTGAGGCCCTGGGTTCGATCCTTAGCCCCACATCAAAATAAATAAAGGTATTGTGTCCATCTACAACTAAAAAGTATATATATAAAAAATAATAAAATGCTTGGTTCAGTTATCAGTATAGTTAAAGTCAAACTTATGTCCTTAGTTTTCTTTCTTTTTAAAATATTGATAAAACTAAGGACATAAGTTTGACTTTAACTATATTTTGGTAGATCCAGACTACTTGCTGTTATAATACAGAAGCAAGCACAGCCCTGCCTGAAGTCACTCTGCCCTGTTTTGCAATGTCAGTGAGGTTTTCCTCATCCCCCTAACTACTCTGTTATCTAGACCACTGCTCTTGCTCACTCGGTCAATAGAACAGCCAAGGGCTGGGGTTGTGGCTTAGTAGTAGACCTAGCATGTGTGAGGCCCTGGGTTCTATTCTCAACACCACGTGTAAATAAAAAAATAAAGGTCCATTCACAACTAATAAAAATATGTAAAAAAAAAGCTTAACTTTTCCTCCACATTGTTCCAAATTAAATGAAGCACTAGCCATCTCATAGCTTATTTTCACAAGAGGCTATTATAGAATTGCTGGCTTAGAATGTTCTATCTATAAACTCTTGAAATGGCAAAGTAGTATGGCAAAAGTTTATCTACTTGACGGTACATTATTATTTCTTTTAATTTTCTGTCTTATTTTGTTTTATTTAAAGGCTGCAAAGAAATTTGTTTCTGGCCAGAAGTCAATGGCAGCAAGTGGAAATTTGGGGCATACCCCTTTTGTTGACGAGTTGAAACACTGAAGCACAAATTGCAAGGGAGAGCACAGAACATTTTCTCATCCCAGAGCAGCAGACACATGAAAGTCAAAAGTCTATAATTTATCTTGTTTTTATCAACTAAGTAAAATATCATAAAACATAAATGCAAGTAATTAATGGAGTCAATAAAACATTCTGCTTAAATGTTTTTCTTGCATTTTTCCTGTTTAATCAATAAGTGTTTAATCTTTGTTTTTTGTTTTTTGACATCTTTGTTTTAGATGTCTGAAAGGAGGCAGGAATGTAAGAATTTGGTACTTCAATTAAGAAGCATCGGACACTATTAAAATTAAGGCTAAGCAACTACCAGGGTAAAAATTTCCAGATTATTATTGGTGACTTTTTAAGATGAAAACAAATTAAAAATCTGTCATTTTGGATACAACAATTAAGTGATCTGAGTTTACCCTCTTTGCCTTTTTTTACAGTGAAATCATTTCTGAAAAACATAAATTTCCTATGAATCATATGCCATGTAATTGTTACTTTATATTTCTGATTTATTTTCACTGTGGCAGTTTTTATTTTTCTCTTCTATTTCTCATCTGTTTCAATCCTGTCTCTTTCACATAGTTAACTATCAGGCCAACACTGAAAGTAACAGTAGGGCTGAAGGGTTGCTAATATGAATAATTACCCAAAGAATCTAATCTAAATATCAAAAGAAAATATGGTATTTACCTTAAAAAGAAGTTCTCTACCATGTTTATATATTCTGATAATGGTTTCTTCTACCATATTTTCTAAAAGATGGGAAATTCTCAGAAAGGAGGGTCTTCATGACCTGAATTGCTATTTTGAGAACAAGATCTGTGAAACCCCAGGAAGTCTTTCACTTTCTCACTGAAGAAGGTCTCTAAAGGCTTTCCACAGTCATGAAAAAGAATTGATAAGTCTGAACATAATTCCTGAAGAATTCTTGCAAACTTGGCAAGGCACAAAAATTTGGTGTTTTTAAAAAATGTTCATACAACCCCACTTTGTAAACTATTGCCTAACCTTTGATGCCAGTTGACTTTTGCCCTTCTCAACTTGGGCACAGTCCTCCAGCCAAAATGCATCTGAGGTGGAGGAGACGGAGGAAGAGGAGCTTTTGTTTTCGTTCTTCACCATGGTCCAGTATGGAGATGGGGCTCTCACTTCTTTCTTATGATCTCCATGAATTATCACATCACAGTTGATGTTTTTTCCGACACTAATAGTTTGGTTCTCCTTTTTATACCCATGCCATTCTCTGGAGATAGATACTGGTCTTCTTGCAGGGTGAGGCCCAAGTGACTGTGAATATCTGTAAAATTTAAGTTTTTTATCTAAAACTACATCTTTGTTGTCATCAGGGCTTGAGAAAAATTCATCTTTTGCCTTCCCAGTTTTCTTTGGTGTACTGAAATAAAAAGAATAGTGAATAAAATGAATGTCTGAACATTTATAGTTCCCTAAAGAGATGTCTTATAGCCTGCTTTGTCTCATTAAAGTACCTTTAAATTTTTTTCCTATAAATATTGCCTTAAATTATTTTACAATACTTTAAAAAGCTTTGCATAGACTTAAACCAGACTTAAACTATGCAAGACCATAATATTAGGAGGCCCTAAAGGATAGGTTAATTTCACTTGTACCTACAAGTTCAACCTGGCCATCACCTCCTGAGAACCCTGTTCTCATGGGTCATATGACAATAATAGGAAAGTTCACTGATTGTGCTCTATATGTATAATAAGAATTGTAATACATTCCACTGTTGTGTATTTTTTAAAAATCAATTAAAAAAAAGAAAAAAGATCACTGATTTCCAAGGGGGTCAGGAAATAAATAGTGGACCTCAAGGGTCTTCAGTAAGCAAGTCAGTAGTCTTTTAATCATCTTTTTTTCCTGACATTGCCACCTAGCGCATCATTCTGTCCCTCTCATTGGGGTTCACATACATAGATTTTGTTTTGTTTTATTTTGCTTTGTTTGGGTGCTGAGGATTGAACCCAGAGGCAATGACCACATCCCCAGCCATTTTTTACTTTTTATTTTGAGACAGTCTAACCAAGCTATTTAGGGTCTCACTAAGTTGCTGAGGCTGACCTGGCACTTGTGGTCCTTCTGCCTCAGTCTCCCCAGGAGCGGAGATTACAGGTATGCACCACCACACCTCGCTCAGGCATGGATTTGTAAAGCACCCTTCTCCTCACATGACCATTATCATTCTCTATTCTTCCTCTCTATTGTCATCCAAAAGCTTCAAAGGTTTTTTTTTCTTTTTTTTTTTTTTTTGGGTGGGGGGGTGTTTAATTTTGTTTTTGGCTTGATTGTTGAAATTTACGTGGTGTTTGCCTGCTAGGAACTACAAAGCTCTGGACTTTTCTAATACTTGGCGCTTGCTAATCTTTGCAGAACAAATACCATCCATCACCTGCTCTCTCTCATCCTGGTGCTATTGCCTGCCAAGTCTACAACTAGATCTTTGCGATTCTAACCCTTTGACACATTCTGTTCTGCTAATACAAAACACATCTCTTCCCCACCCTCTCTGCCAATCAATCCATCAGACTTCTTGGTGTTATCATTAATATCCTTGCCAGTCTGCCTGGTTTTTGTTTTGAGGTTTCTCTCTTCTAATATTAAGTCATTTTTACTGAAAGCATCTAGTCTTAAATGGTGTGATTTCCTTATCCTTAGCTTAGGGTCATGCAAGAAGATCTAGGACCGGAACCATTTGAAAAGAAAAGGAAAAAATCCAAGTTACTTTTTTTCAGATTGCAAGAGGTATTCTTGGTAATTCTGTATTAGGCAATTGTAAAGGACAGGTGGTAGGGCTAGGCACTTTAATTAAACTAGCATTATCGCAACAGATAATAAAAACACAGCCAGCAGAGGACAGTGTGGGCTGGATATAGATCTTATACCACTAGACTACCCAGAACACAATATGGAATATTCTCTCTATTGTGCACGCAGTGCCATCTGCTCCTAGAAAAGGTCATACCATAAAAGCCCTTTCCTTTCCCCATCTTCCCCTTTGCTAACCCCTTCCACATAAGTTACTAAAATACCTTACAGAAGTACTTTGCTTAGTTAAGAAAGAAAATGTGTCATCATTCCGTAAGTCTGTGGGGTTCAGTTGTGCTATTCTCTGTTTATCTCTGCTTTTGAATGGTCAGTCTGCCATCATTAACTTTTAATATTCAGAATATCAGACTTTTTCCATGTAATGAACAAGCTTAGGACATGGCAGTTCTACAAGGAAATGGTTAAGGGCTCCGGCTTTAGAGCTGCACTATCCAAAACTGGCTGCTGGCTACTGTGAATATTTTGAATAAAAATTAAAATTCCCCAGGTGCAGTCCCCATATTTAAATGCTTAATAGTCACATGTGGCTAGCCTAAAGGACAACTCAGATGCAGAACATTCCACTACCACAGAAAGTTGTCACTGACATTGTAAAGTCCTTGCCATGGCCACAACACAAGAAGCAATGAGTAAGTGTATGCTATTATTTTTAAAATTGGGCGGGGTTTGTGTGAGGGGTGTGCCAGGGATTGAACTCAGGACACTTGGCCACTGAGCCACATGCCCAGCCCTTTATTTATTTATTTATTTAGAGACAAGGGTTTTACTAAGTTGCTTAGCACCTCGCTTTTGCTGAAGCTGGCTTTGAACTCAAAATCCTATGTCAGCTTCCCGAACTGCTGGGATTACAGGTGTGTGCCACGGCGCTGGGCTTATTTTTAAATTTAAAAAAAAAAAAAAAAAAAATTCAGTACTTGATTGAACCCAGGAGGGCTCTACACTAAGCTATATCCCCAGCCTTTATTTTAATTTTTTATTTTGAGATAGGGTTTTGCTAAATTGCCCAGGCTGGCCTCAAACTTGTAATTCCCCTGCTTGTCTCCCTAGTTACTGAGATTACAGGTGCACACACTATTCCTGACTTAATTTTACTTATTTTAAATCAGATCAGGATTGGTTTGGTCACTGGGGAAAAAAAATAATATTTTCCAGCCTGCCTGATCTGAAGAGGACAGCTGCTCCCCAGCTCAAACCCACTGTCACCATGTGGGAATGCTTTAAAAAATACACAGAAAGTGTGAAAAAACAATTTAATGAAAAATATTATAAGCAGACACCTTGGTGGCTGCTGCCAGGTCAAGGAATGGAGTGTTACTGGTCCCTTGTGAAGTCCCCATGTATCTTCCTTGCACTCTACAGGTCTGGGTTTTCTAAGTGCTGTGAGAAATGACCAAAGCATATCTGGGTACCACTTCAGATCCTTGGCCACAAGTTTGAGTCTCTGAAATAAAGTTGATGTAATATGGACCATTTTCTAGGCTTTGTAAAAATCCTGGCCATATCCTTTGAGTCTATCCCTATAAGCGAAAGTATAGGGCTGGGGCTGGGGATCAGTGGCAGAGTGCTTGCCTAGCATGTGTGAGGCCCTGGGCTCCATCTCCAATACTAGGGGGCGGGGGAAAGAGGGAGTTTACACAGTGACAAGAATCTAGTGTAGAAATCCTAACAAAATTGAGGATCACTCTTGCATCAGAGAATTGAATTCAACACAAAATAATCTCATTCTACACCTTGTGTTCCACAGAATGCTCCTTCATATATCTGATCCTCACAAGAGTCCCTGTTACAGATAAAGAAACAAGCTCTCAATCCCAGCTACTTGAGATCCTGAGGCAGGAGGATTGCAGGAGGATCCCAAATTTGAGGCCAGCCTGGGCAAGGAAGGAAAGAAGGAAACAAGCTGTCGGATTATTTAGGTAATTTGAGATTCCTAGCTGGATTTCCGTTTTTCACTTTCAATAAATGAAGCCTCCACCACATTAAAGTCCCATAATAGATTTAGCAGAACAAGACACATGGCATTTGCATTTTCCCAGGGAAGCATAGCAAACAACTGATTGTACAGATGATTGAATTAAAAGTGGGATAAATATGGAGGAGATATATAGGGTGCTATGAGAGCACATGACAGGTGGTCCCAACTGTTTTAATGCCTCTTAGAGAAAGCTTGCACTGTGAGCTTTCAATGATGCGTACTGAAGAACAGCACTCTACTAAGCACATTGTAGGGGGAAGAACACAAGGCAGAAAACTGAAATCTAAAGTAGGCTAGATAAAGGGGGAAAAGAGTGTGAGATGAAGCTGGAATGGTGCCCAGTCAGACCATAATATTATAGGCCAAGGTAAGGATTTTTGTCATTTTAAAACTGGAATATGACTTGATTAGATTTGCATTGTAAAAGGACCACCCTGAATAGAGAATGAATAAGAGGTGGGAATAGATGCAGGAAGAACTAAATGGTGGCTTTGTCTAGGACAATGGTAATAGCCAGGGACAGAAGCAGATAAATGTAAGAAGATAAGGAAAATGACAATAATAGTATTAGTGGTTGGTTGGCAGGGTCAAGGATAGAGGAACCAAGCACAAACACAACCCTTGTCAAGTAGGCAGACATTCCCCCAGTAAGATAGGACCACTGAAAGATCACTGGTGAGGTGACTTTATTTTAAGCATGAGTTTAAGGGGTTTATGAAAAATCCAGATGTAGACATCGGGTGGGCACTGAAAAATTTGTGTTCACAAGTTTGGAGATAGCACAATATGGAAGTGATTAGTGTACAGGTAGTGACCACAGGCATCGGTGAGGTTGCCTAAAAGAGCCAAGGACTAGGGACTGGGGTTGGGCTCAGTGGTAGAGCGCGCGCATAGCGTGCACGAGGCACTAGGTTCGATCCCCAGCACCCATAAAAAAAACTAAATAAACAAAATAAAGGTATTGTGTCCATCCACAACTAAAAAAAAAAAAAGCCAAGGACTAAACCGAGAAGAACTTGAGCTGGGCAGAAGACCAAGAGGAGGTGACCAGAGGTAACCAGAAAATCAAGGGAGTAAGGTAACACAAAAACCTGAGGAAACTGATATGTCAAGAAGAGGGGAAGGAAGGTCGTTGCCAAGTCTCTAAAGCTGCTCAGAAGCCAAGCAAAGTAAAGACTGAGAAGAGTCCATCAGAATCAGCATGAAGGACATGTATGACCCTAGGAAGGGGCCTCTGAGCCAGGGATAAAAGCAAAACCTAGACGGAAGCGAGTCAAGGAGTCACTTTCTCCCTGGAAAGTGCATCTGCGGAGAAAATGGAGACCTCTGATAGGGGAGGCAAGGGACAGGGCAGTGATTGAAGCCAGTAGGAAGAGGGGAATGGAGTTGGCGGGTTTGCTAACATGAAAGAAACTTGAAAGGGCTTAATTGTTACTGGGAACCAGAGAGAAAGAAGTTGGCAATTAAGAAAGGAGACAGGATTCCCAGCGTGTTTTAAGGTCTGACTGCAGAGAGGCACAGTGCAGGTGTTTTGGGGACAGTCTTCCTATCAGCGACTGCTGGTTATAGCTTTTTTAACTATAAGTTGTGTTTATCATGCTGCTTTAAATGAGGTCAGTCACCTATGCTTTCCAAATGGATTTGGAAATTCACCTAATTATTCCGGCAGTGTCACCCATCTCTTCTACCACGGTTCTTACCATTTGATTATTCTCACATTAAATCAGGACCCTGTGCTTCCCAGGACCTGGGGGTCTGTATTGTAACAAAGAGTTCCTAAAATGAACAACTTACCGTGTCACTGGGAATTTGGTTTCAGGGATTAAATCATATATTTCTTGCCATTCTTGGGGTATAGCAATAAAATCTCGGTAAACCTTGAATTGTAGCACTGTTCCTATGGTGATATTTTGCAAAAGCTTTAAAAATTCTCGAAGAGTATATCCTAATACGTTGGCATGGCCAACACTAATCAGAACATCACCTAAAAGAGGAGAAATATTATCAGTAAAATTAAGATAATGGGTTGGAAAGGACCATATTGATTTCTTACTTGGTTGTGGAATTTCTGTTTATATTGTTAGTTCATTTTGAACCAAAACTAGGCTTCAGCCTTGACTTATTAAAAATATTCATCTCTTTGACATGAATGTCCTTTGTATAATGAAGAATATTTACAAGATGTTTCTTAATAGCAGTATAATGGAGGATATTAAACCATGAGACATTTCTAAAGTTCTTGGTATAACAGAGGCTATAAACCATTTATAGTCTGAACCATCCTTTGGGATTCTAAAAATATATTAATTTGAGATAAAATGGATGGCTGTTACTAGTAAAGGAAAAAAACATTTACACTAAGTGATAAATTAATGACCCACTTTCTATTATACCTGCCTGGCAATTTCCAGAGCCCTCCACCATAAATAGACTATATTAATCAAGCCTTTCATTTCCATTTTCTGCCCCATGCAGAATTACTTGGGCACATAATTTTGTATGAAACACTGGGCAATTAGCTTGCTTTAATTATGCTGAAGCTGTATATACAGAGAGTATATTGAAAGGAATTTGACAGCTTGGATCCCCTACTTTAGGTCAATGCTGGACAGAGAGGGAGTTTCTGAGCCCCCAGTAGGTGGAAAGAGAACTACATTTTGGCAACAAACCCCTGGGTCCCCAAAATGGAAAAGCTAAGAAACCAATTCTTTACTTGCACCCACCTCCCCTGCCTCCCTACCCTACCAGGCTGATATGGGCCTATAAACCAGTGCAGTCACCAGGCACTCCCATCTGGGTCACTGAACCTGGAGGAGATGCAGGGCAATGACAGGAGCATGCGGTTTCCAGGAACAGCTACACATGGCCCTTTCTTCTCTCCCTATCTTCTGAGCCTGGTTCTCCAGCCTGTTGGGCAGGCAGTTCGGGCAGATGCAGTATCCTAAATTCAGTGCCTCATCTGTTTTCTGTTGCTCGCAGTGAAGAACTCTGAATGCCACTTGCCTTCAGCAGACTTTGAGAAGAGATATGCTGTTCAAGGCCAGACTCACATTGGGCAAAATCTTAGTCCTCAGAGCTTACTAGGTACTGACATCTTACCAACAGTAACAGAAACTTCAGAGCTGACATGGGATAAAGTGGCCTGGATGAAGTTATAAAAGGTGTGTTCACTTCTCCGAGTGTGGAAAACTAGGCATGCTCCAATCATTCCAAGACAGATGAAACTCAACCTCAGAGGAGAAAAGGATCAAGAAGAAGCACTTTCTCTGATCCCAGTGAGCTATAGTCAGAAATTACAGTGATCACCAAGGATTTCCACAGTGCTAGACCCATCAGAAACAAGTGCTTAGTATTCCAGTAAATGAATACTTAGAAGGATAGAGAAAACCTTCTACCTTGGTCTTAGGAATTAGCTGTGGGTTAAATCAGCCACATACCTGAAGCTACACTTCATAAAAAACAAGGCTTCTCCCAGCTCCCTGCAGGCCACACAGTATGAAGCAGCTGCTCCTCTGACTGAGGTTAATTACAATGGGGGAAAAATCCCTCTCTGGATGAGCTTACTTGCCTAATGTTAAAAGGAGTGTTTATAGCTGAAAGCTATGACTTGGCATTGTGCTTAATTATGTTGTAAAAAGGTGACTTTATCAAGAAAGCAGAAAATAAACAGCTTAATACCCTGACCGTTCTGGCTATAAACCAAGTGTGTCAGCTTACGAATGTGATTACTCTGGCAATAGGCATTAACACTGCCCTTCATAGGGAGACACCAATTTGGTGTTTATGAACACCAAATTCATTACACATCTTCTTTTCTGTTTTAATGGGCTATAGAATGACATTGCATAAACTTTGTCTCGATTACCTATATTAAATCAACTCTATAGCACTCGTGTCGCACTGAAAAATACATTTTTTTCTCTGTCCCTCCCAACAAGGCTATAAGTTGCTTAAGTTCTACGTGTTAGGGACCGAATCTGCTTGGCTCCCCAATGTACCCACAATGCCTAGCTGGGTGCGTGTGCACAGCAGACATTCAGGAAATACTGACTGAAAGAATGAAGCCTGCTATGAGCAGTGGCCAGGGCACAGGTTAGCTACTGTCAAACCAGCATTAATTTCTTAAGACTTTGTTTGGCAGTCTGTTGAAGCCATAATGGCCAAGGTGGATCTAAAGTTTAGCCAGAATAAACTAACACTAAACTAAATCAGGAGATTTGAGATGAAACTCCATCATGAATCACCAAAGAAGAAGCTTTAAAACACAGGAATAAGAAATAATGGGACTGAGAGGCAATGAAACCAAAGAAACAGCGAATTTCTACACTTATTGCCTTCCATGATCTTATTTATAAAAAACGAATTACAGAGACTGAAGTCGCTGACTTCTCATGAAGAAATCTGGGACTCTGGACTCCTTATGTACTAAAATCTGATTTCTAGTTATTAGGCAATTGTCTAGAAAGATATGGCTATAAACCTAACCCTAACCCTAACCCTAACCCTAACCCTAACCCTACCCTATCCGGGCAGACATGGGTTCAAATCCCAGCTTGGACCATGGACTAAGCCATGTATTCTGAGCAAATTACTTCATCTCTCTAAGCTTCTATATTTCATTATTTACATTCTAGGAGTGTTGCAAATGCAAAATTCAATAATAAACGTAGAAATATCTTGTACAATGCCTGGGACAAATACATAATAAACGTGCCAGACCTGGAGGTAAGTCCTGGATTGAAAAAGATGAATTTGGGACTGCCTCTCTCACCTCAAAGAGCCCACCAGCTGTAGCCCCACCATGAGATTCTGTGTCACAGGGATGAACCAGAACACACTCTTGTCGCATTCTAGCACCCTGGAGTATGCACCTGGTTACCAACCAGCATTTGTCACCTGACTCAAGAGCTGAACACAAGGAAAGTCCATGGAACTTGACCTGGAGTTCTTTCAGTCTGTGTATTGAAGGTTTGATCACCAGCTTGTGGAGCCACTGAAAAATGCTGGAACCTTTAGGATGTAGAGCCTAGTAAAAGGCCCCTTCATCTCTCTCTCTTTTTTTTTTTTGCCCCCCGGCTGCCAGGAGATGAGTAGGTTTCTCTGCCACACACTCCAACCATGATGTGCTACTTTGCCACAGTTCCAAAGCAACAGAGCCAACCAACCATGAAACTGAAACCTCTGAACCATTAGCCAAAATAAACCTTTCCTCCTTATAAGTTGTTTACCTCAGGCATTTTGTCACAGTGACAGAAAGCTGACTTAATACAGTGTAAGGAGCCCAGAACTCTCTAGCAGTTTGTTCCTCAGCACCAAGTAGTGATATGGGGAGAAAATGCTTTGGATTTTAAGACAAGTTAATCTTTCAATATAACATTTATCTATTTTATTTTTTAATCTGTTGCTTCAAACCCTATCTGAGTCATCTGAGGAGATTTTAAAGCATGAGCTAGCTGCCCTGTCCTAACCCTACACCAGTTGAATCAGAACCTGTGGGGAGATGGGGCCCAGGTGATTCTAACAGGTAACCAGGTAACTGGGACTCATATATCACAATCATTTTTTATTTTTTTTAAAAAAAGACACAAATATAGAGAATCTATAAATCAGAACAGTGTAACAATTGCCAATTTTTCTAGAGCACTTGAAGTTCTCAAAGCACTTTCATAAAAATTATTTCATCAAATCCTAGCAACCCCTGACAAAGATGGGATCCCCCCAATTTAGAGATGAGGTGACTGAGACCTGGAAGGTTAAGGACCTTTGCCCAACAGCACAGAGCTAGAAAGTGACAGAGCTTGGGCCAGAATTCAGGTTGCTTAACCTGAAATGTTTTGTTTTTCCTTTTGACCACTTCACCATCCCACTGTGCTTCACTCCTGGGCATAGCACCAGGCCTGGAGGAGGCACTGGGAAAATGTCTCACACCAGATAGAACACGCATTCACCCAAAGATTTGTAAAACCCTGGGGCTCTCGGATCCTAGCTCCTCGGTGTGACTGTGGGTAAATATTTGATTTTTTGTGTGTAAGGTGGATTAATGCAGAATCTACCTCTTGCGTTTTCAGGAGGGTGAAACATGATAATGGGTCCAAGTGTTAGAGATGATTAATACTGCCTAGAAGAGAAGAAATCCTTATCACAGAGAGACATAAGCTCTGGAGTGACACTGGACTTCCAGTTGTAGCCACTTACAAGGTGCACATGACCTGGACAAGAAACTCAGTCTCACTGAATCTCAGTTTCCTCACCTGTAAAAAGAGGATGATAATAACAGTTCCTACCTAGAGAATTAAATGAATAAGCACTTCTGACAGTGAGAGTTATATGTATGGGATAGCAATTGACTGACTGCAGAGAGTTCTCAACCAATGTCATCATATTATTATGGTTATGCTGAAACTGTGTGGCTCCATGAAGGCAGAGGAGAGGGGGACATGGGGAAACCACAGTCACCTGGCTTGAGTCTCCGGTCCTTGGCTGCAGCCCCATTTTTGATGAGGTGGGAAATCTGGAGGTAGGGCCTATGCTGGATGATGATCAGGCCTAATCCCAGTCTGCCCACAGTGAGTTTGGTCTGCTGTGTTTTGCTCAAGTTGTGTACAGAGTTCTTGAACTCGAAGCTGAATTGTTTTCCTAATAGAAAGAGGAGAACTTGTTTCAGTTATTTATTGAGACAGCATCATGGCAATAGTTTCTGGGGTTCTGAAGCCAGGCTGCTGGGGCAGTTATGAAATCTACCTATTCCTTAGTTTCTTCATCAGTAAAATGAGGGTTACAAAAGTGTTATGAGAATTGCATGAGTCTATTCAAGGGCTCTTGCACAATGTCAGACACACCATGGGGGTTTAATCAATATCAGTTATTATTATTATCAGTTCACTTAACAAATACTTATTGTGCTTACCACTTACCATGCCCTTATGGATCTTGTAGACAGGGAAGGAAACAAATATCAGTTATATAAATCTACATTGGATAACAAACTATATCACAAGCTATGAAAGAAAAAATAATACTCAGGATAAACAGCAGGGGGCCTCATTCTCTTCTGGGGAGGGTCCCTCAATTGAGCTTTCCTGAGAGGGTAAATACAAATTTAGAAAGGACCAAAACTATTTACTCAAAAGAGGAAGGGAGAGAGAAAATTGGATCAAGGTTCTGAGATTCCCGAAGCCCTGCTGGGAATATGAAGGAGTCCACTAGTAGGAGGCGGCCAGAGGCCCAATGGTGGGGCTGACAGGGGCTGGTGCTCAGGTTTGCCCTAATGAAAAAGCTCAGAAGTGATTTAAACTGGACATGATTCAGTTTGCATTTAAATCAAACTTCTGGCTGCTGGGTGGTGTGTGGGTTGTGGAACCCAGAGTTGACTAGAGAAATGGAAAGGTTACTGCATTCACCCAGGTATGTCATAGTGGTGACAGAGGAAATGGACAGTATACGGATCCAAAAAGGACTTGGGAAGGAAATCCAAAGGCCTTTGGGACAGTGAGTTGTAGAGATGTTGAAACATGCTTTTTATAGAACCAACTCTCACAAGGAAATTTCAAGGATTAAGGAGTGATTGAAAACAAGTGATTTTTTTTCCTCCAGAGGAAGCTTCTAGAAGGCTCTTTTTCAGTACACAGGAAAGTTCTGTGTGGAGAGCTGTTTTCTGCACACTGTTCCAGAATTCCATACACAGCTGATTCCATTAGGATGAGTGACACACTGCAATTGGCCAAGTCCTTGCTATGTCCATGTGACTGCTGTTTTTCATGGTCTGCTGAGAGAGGGGCTCACCCAGCTGTAAGAGAACTCGCAGAATTCACCTCCCTTTCCTCAAAGCAAAAGTCTTTGCCCATCTCCAATCTCATCTTCCCTCGAACCACAGACACTTTCTGGCTGGAAAACTACCCAGGAAAAAGAAGATAAGGTCTTCAGAGTTTTTTTAGGGGCAATTTGGGGCCCAGGTATGCTCTTCTTTGGGCCTCTGGTTCCTGGGCAGACAGAGAAGCTCATCCTCTGCAGAGTCTGGGTCCCAACCTCAGCCTGCAAATTAAATGTGCTTTATGATGTAGTCTATGGAGCCTAGATTCAAAAGACAGCAGGGTAAGCAAATGAAGCCAGCCTCAAACAGCACCATCCATGATTCCATTTTTATGACATTCTCCATGGAAAAACACACAATTCTAAAAAATCAGAGTGTGAGAAAGTAGGGAGAAGGAAGAGGTAGGCTACCAAAGGGCGGCTTCAGTGTAATTTGGGGGGTGGTAGTACATTCCCTGTCTTGTGGTGGTTCCATGTGGATGTATGCTTGTCGAAACTCATTGAGATGTCCACTAAGAAGGGAGGCCCTACTGAATGTAAATTATACCTTAATAAACAATGGTGAGAGGTTAGCTTCCAGGCCAAGGATGTGACGTACTCATTTTACAGAAGAGGAAAAGTGAATATAGCTTGAAACCCAAGACATCACCCTCTCCCCATTCTCCCCAGTTACCATATCCGCATTTTCCCTTGGACTTCTCCATGTCCCCGGGAGGGTGGGCGGCTCAGGAAAACCTCCTGGAGCCTAGGCTGGAGCGGGTCTAACGGCCAGCAATTTCGAATCCTGCAGAAGCACGCGCAGGGCAGCACTGCAGGCAACCCCCCCACATCCCCCCCACCCCTCCGCCGCCAGTAGATTTCGGGCGCCGTCCCTCGGGCTGACCGCCAGGGGGCACTGCGAGGCCGCCGCGCAGAGGCTGAGCCGCAGTGTGGGAGCCTCCAGGGCTGTGTGGACCTTGGAAAATTTGGCAGGGGTGTTACACTCCAATGTGGCATGTGAAAACTTTGGGGTGGAAAGAATGGAACTTCTGCGGGGACAGGCAGAGTGCCAGGCTCACACTGGGTTCTTCATTCATTGGTGATGAAACCCAAATGGGACGGAGCAGAAAGCAAAGAGGAGTTTTCTCAAAGATGGCAGAGGGAAAGCACAGCTAGAAGATCACAGAATCCCTAGAAGATCACAGTCCCCTGCTGCACGCCTAATGATGGTATTTTTAAATACTGTTGCATCAACAGCTCCAATTGCTTTGCCACTACACTTTTTTCATAGATGTTTTGGTTGAGAAAAGGCCAAGGGTGGCCTGAAAACAATGAGTCACTATTAAGAGAGGGATTAATGCTTCCTTCTTTTTTCCAAAATAACCCTTCCTCCCACACACATTCACTCATACAGCAAATATTCACTGGAAGCCGCTGTGGTTTGTGGGGATGCTGGGGACAAAGTAGACAAGACAAACAGGGCCCTATCCTCTTGGAATTTATGCTTGAAAAACAGACAATGGGGACGATTTTATGAAAACATAAATTTTCAAAATAAATTCTAGGCATGTGGCACATGCCTGAGATGCCAACAACTGAAGAGGCTGAGGTAGGAGATAAAGGCCTGGGCAAGAGAAGGAGGAGGAAATAACATGAGGTAGGTCCCCACTCTGCAGAAACCAAGAGGTTAAGCACCTTGCCTAAAGGCATTCACCTATCAGATGTCAGGAGCTGTGCTAAGATTTCTCTGGTAAACTGAGTAGGCCCAGCTTATTCTGCTGGTTTTCTGGCACTACCCAGACAGGCAGATTTCTCATTGGATAAATCCTGTGTCACTGAACCTCACATATAGTGCTACTGTCAACCTCAAAGAATCTTCAGCCAGTGGTTTCTTGTGATAGGTCACCTGTTTCCTCTTCCAAATAGTCTGGCAGGGATCTATCTAGATAACAAATAAATTCTTTCATAAAATGTACCCTTTGCCTCTGTCTTCCCATCAGCAGGGAAATGGTGAGATTTGTGGGATTTAAGCACCTGAGTCTTCTCTCCATGCCAGACAGAAAAATCTCTTAAGGGCTTATGGTATAAATGCAGGATACAAATTGTCATGGATGCTGTGCTCTTTTGCCCAGGTCCCCCTTCAGGGCTGAAGGACTTAGGCCTCCCCCAATTCACCATTCCCTGCTGCTGGCTGAGAGAGCCCCTTGCCCAAGATCCTACCTTCCCAGGGCAGCTAGAATCCAATGACTGACAGCACAGGGCCATCCCGGCTTCAGAACTCTCTATGGGGTCCACTGTCAGGCCCTGTCATGGTGGTATTGCAGCCAGACTTCTCCCTCTGCCCACAGGGGTGGGTCCCAAAAGCACTCTCCCACCAAACTCCCTGTGACTTGGAATCTGTCTTCTAAAGACCCCAACCAGCAACAGAGAGTGCCAGAGGTGATCTGAAGGAGTAGATGCCCAGATGAGATATGGGAGCTGGATCACCCAATTTAATGAGGTTCCAAACACAAAGAAGCATAGGCAGCCTCTGGCACAGGGAAGCATTAAGATGGCAAATGCTTTCCTGGTAGTAAATGGATGGTATACCAGGGGAAGGAAATTTAAGAGCAGGTATCATGTATCAGACATTCATTAGGCTAAGGAATTGGCAGGAAGAGTAATCACCAGGAAGGAAGCAGGTGGCTGCTACACATAAGGACAGGAAGCAGGTGACCTGTGGCACCCAGATGATCCACTTAGGTGTTGTAGTCCTCCTTTGTCATATTTTGACAGTAACTAACTGGACAAATACAGCAGCCAAAGCCTGAAAGGTACATGGCAACCAGGGCCTTAAACTTGAGGGCTGGAGGTCTAGGCCACTCTACCATATGAGCCACCTAGACCATCAGAGGTGCTGGCAAGGCGTGAGAGGAATCTTGGGTGAGTCAAAGAGCGAAATGACGAGGATGTCAGTTATGCTTCAAGATGAGCTGCCACATTCCTCCAGTAGTTTCCCAAGAGAAAAGATACCCACCAGAGTCCTGGAGGGGCCACTTTCAGGACTTAAAAGAAACAAGTCAAAGTTGAGAATTGGGATGTTAAAGATAGTAGATATGTTTTCTACTGCAATAGAGCAGTGCTTCTCAAATCTGGGTAGGACATGGACCAACAATGAGTGATGTGATAGGAATTCAAGTAACTGGACAGATATGGCCCATTTTCCTGGGGGATCAGTTTTATTTGAAGATATAAGGAAATTCTAAAAATTATTATTATGGAGCATAATACAAAATGCTAATGATCTGCTGAGCACCATGGAGGCACTGTGGCAGATGCTGATGTGCCACTAGGTCCCCTTCAGGACTAAAGAATTATTCCCCAGTTACTGAAAGAGTTGTAGGTTGACAGATCTCTGCTGTTGGTCTTCTTGAGGAATTGTGCTTGGCTGCAGAGAGCCACCTTCCCTAAGGTCACACCCCATTCCTGGGGTAGCTAGCTAATCCAGTGATTGACTGGTCAGTGCTAAGAATGTAAAGGCTTGGCCTCTTTATCCCAACACAGCAACTTGAAATTGCCATCTCAGCTTCAGAGCTCCCCTCTGAGTCTGCCAAAGTCTCTTCTGACTCCCTGTTTTCTGTGTCCAATCCTGCCTCCCTTCCTTCCCTCACAGGAGTTGATCTGAGAGCACTCACTAATAAATTTCCTGCACACTGATCAATAATCTCTTGCCTCTGAGTCAGCTCCAGGGGAATCAATGTAGGAGACAAACCATGATCTGAGCCCTGACCAAGCTGTTAACCTCTGGATTTGGCTCTTTGGTCTTCCTTAATCCCAGAAACCCCCTGATATATACATGTGGTGTTTTCTCCACATTCTTGGCCCACATAGTAAACTTGACCCCTAGAGAGGAAGTGTGTTCTTTATTCTGTCAGGCCAAAGATACTCCTTAAAATAAAGAGTGATGACACCAGTCTCCCTTCCACAGCTTTCCCAAGGTCCCATCTGGATTCAGCCTCTTCTGCGCTGAGGCCTGTCATCAATCATGATCAAGCACATCACATCCAGGGCTCCTTAACAGCCACAGTATGGCTATTTATGTCTTTGGGCTTCCAGCAGAGCTCCCCCTGTGAGCCTTCTATGTTCTTCTGGATCCCCAAGGACTTTCTGCCATAAAGAGCCTCGTAGCTCATCTCTGATTAGAAGAGTCCCAGCTGTTTTTTTAGGTGTGGGTGAGAGGATAGGATGCTTCTATCGCTAAGGCAGTGACTCTGGGTGTCTGTCTGGTTAGATAGGGAAAAAAGGCCAGAAGAGGTGACATGGCTTTCCCAAGTTCAAGTCAGTAGCAGGACTGGAACTAAATATGCATATCACTCCTCCCAAACCTCTCAGGTTTGTCTCTACTAAAATCTAGAGAAGGGAACTGCTTTGTGCTGTAAACCTCAGCAGCTTGGGACTCTGAATTACCAGTTATTCTGGAAGTCAAGAATATGATGTGGAACCCAAATCAGGGATTAAGGGAAACTCTTTAAATATTATATTTGGCCCCTACTAATCCCACCCCCATCCTTTTGGTAGGAAGGGAAGGCATGGGTCACTATGATCTATTATGCAAAGCAGAGTTGTGCAGCAGGAGTGTGCAGGGCCTGTATGATGATGTATAGCCATTCATCTGAGTAAAAGATTAAAAAAAATTTTTTTAACTCAGTGCTGGTTGTTTTGTGCTTTCCTCTGATATCTAGAACCTTCTGTGGAGGGATAAATGCAGGAGGGTCTGGGAAGTGCTGCCACAGTAAAAGGAAGATTTACATCTGTATTTTTTATTTTTTAGTTGTAGATGGACACAATACCTTTATTTAATTTATTTATTTCTATGTGGTTTTGAGGATCGAACCCAGTGCCTCACACATGCTAGGCAAAGTGCTCTACCACTGAGCCACAACCCCAGCCCCTACACCTGTATTTTTTAAACAAAAGAATCAAGTCACTATCATTCTACTCAATCAGAATAGTTGCAAACTGTTTAACATTCCAATGTAGGATTCTCACTAGCAGGCCAGTGGTGAACATCAGTGGATATTATTCCAGAACCTAGTTCTGCATAGTTAGGGTTTTTCATCTATTAATAGGCAATCAAAACACCTGACAAGAAGCCAAAAACATGACTCCCTCAAACTTCTACAGTACTTAAAAAAGAAAAAAGAAAAGACCTACTGCAATAATATATTGACTACAGTCATGTATAACTAATTAGAACAAATAAAAAATTCTTTGAAAAAATAATGATATTGATATGCACTAATCTAGATCTTTGGAACATATAAATTATCTTGTGTCAATTTCTGTGGCAGAGAAAATTGCATTATATAATTTTTTCAAAGTCCTTCTCCCAAGAGACCAGTGTTTGGACAAGAAAGTCTTTAGCAATCAAATATTTTCTTCCCTAATCTATGTTGTGCCATGGATAACTGCACATTTTTTGCAACGCTGTTGAATCTGGTGGAATTTGAAACCTGCTGAGTTTTGTGTTCAGGTAGGCCTTCCAAAAATAGAGTCAGATGTCACTCTTCTAGGTCTTTCTAGAGATGACCTAGGTGGCATTTAAGGAGAAAACAAGTGTCCTGTCGTTATTTGCTGCATGGAGTCCTACCCAGGATAGAGAGAGTGGGATCTAAAGTCAGAGTTAGTGTCACTTACTCCAAAAGCCATGGAAGGAAAATCAAAAACAAAAACCCTCCAGCAGATAACAAAATCGTAGATGGCTAGATCATCTGTACTGCTAACTAAATTATGCAAATATCTTATTTTTTTTCCTGTTTATCCATTCAGCCAAGGGTTCTCCTTACATCCCAACTCAGTAAATAGTATCTATCATCAAACTTGGTTGCTCAGGCCAAAAGCCTGGAGTCATTCCTGAGTTCTGTCTTTCAACTCCTCCCACATTATCAGCAAGTCCTTCCCTCTATCTACAAAACACCCAAATACGTCAAATTTTTTCCACCTAGAATACTGTTACCCAAAATTACAGTTATCTTTCCTGGACTACTTTGTCTCTTATGTCATGTCTCTGCTTTCATTTTTGCCCCTTCCCCCTACAATCTACACTACGTACCTTTACAGATTAAAATCATGTCACCCTCCAGTGTCTTCCCGTTGCTCTTGAAACAAAATCCAGATGCTTTACTATGGACCCCAAAGCCTTTCATCTAGACTCTGCCTGCTGTTTCTCACACCACTCTCTAAACCCACAGGCCATTTTGCAGGTCCTTGAATGTGTCAGTCTCTTCTCTGTGGCCTCCCCTAATGGTCTGGTCTTTGCACTTGCTGTTGCCTTTGTCTAGGACAGTCTTCATAAGATCAGCCTTTATGATCCTAGTTATTCTCAGCGAAAATAAATGTATCCCTTCCTCTCCATCATTAAGTATCACCAACCTCTATCCCACTGACCCCCCATTAAGTTCATAAATCAGCACCTGAAATTTTGTTTTAAAGATGGGCTTTCAGCTTGTCTTTGCCCACCCGCACGTCAGTGCCCTCGGCATCTATAGTGCCTGACACACAGTAGGTGTCAAGAGCTATTTCCCACACGGGCCAATCCCGGGAGCTGACGGCCACGGAGCTGGTAACGATAGCACGAGGTGACAAGGACCGTGCGGGGCCCGCCTCCTGCTAGAAGCGGGCGGCTTCCCCTCACGCTCATCCCAGTGGCCTTAGGAAAGCTTAGGGACGGGAGCATTCGGCATCCAGTCATTAACGACGACGACAGCGTCGTTCCTGGGAAGAAAGTCGAGAGGCGGCGCGGCCAGCCGGAAAGCCCCAGAGCGGGGCAAGGGCTGGACAAGCGTCGGGTCCAGGTCCAAGGCAGCGCCGCGGGCTCGGCGGTCGCAAGCCGCGGCCGGTCCTGCCGGCGCCGCGGCTTCGCTTCCGGGTGAGGGGCGGGCGGGCCGAGCAGTTCCGGGGCGGGCGGCGGCTGCTGGTCCCGGGCGCGCGGAGGGCGCGAGCGGCGCGCGGGGGCCGAGGGGGCGCGAGGCGGCGGCGCGGGGACTCCGGGCCCCGGCGGCGGCCCATGGGGCGGGAGGCCTGAGGCCGCGGCCTGCCCGGGGCTCGGGGGGTGGGGGGAGCGGGGCGGGGAGATGGATAAACTGACCATCATCTCAGGATGTCTCTTTCTGGCCGCCGATATCTTCGCCATCGCCAGCATCGCCAACCCCGACTGGATCAACACCGGGGAGTCGGCGGGTGAGCGGCGGGCGCGCGGGGCCGGGCGGGGGCGGAGGGCGGCGGGGGGACCCGGGCTGAGGGGGAGAGGCGGCCGGAGCGGCGCGGGCGGGGGCCGGCCTGGGGGGAGGCAGGCGGAGCGGAGCGGAGAGCCGGGCCGCGGAGCCGGGCGCAAGGGGAGGGGACGGAGACCCGGCCGCCGCCGGCCGCCTGCGGTACCCCGGCCTGTGCAAAAAGTGGCCGAGGAGACCCGGCAGGGCTGGCGCCGAGCACCGGGGAAGAAGCGGGTGCAGGGAGGATTCTAAAAAGAGGGGGGAAAAGTCAAGGTGGGAGACTGGAGGAAACTGAGAGAGAATTAGAATCCAGGCGGAGAGGCTGGGGCGGGAGCGGGGCAGCGGGTGGGGAGAGCTGCGGGGCGAGGCAGCCGGACCGACCCTGGACCCCCACCCGAGCTCCCCGAGGAAGCTGCACCCGGGGAGCGGTGCCCCCGCGGCGGTGCAGGGAGAGCTGAGGGGGTCAAGTCGGGTGGAGGAGGTTGGGGATCTCAGACCCCCGTCCCCAGCCCATCCCCTGCCCTCTTGGCGGGGCTGGAGACACTGGTGGCTTCCAATTTTTCCTTTGAAATGTAAGTGGTTATAATTTTGCTTTATTTTAGGCCCGGGAGCTATAATGATACTAATAATAAACTTCATTTTATGGAGCATCTTTCATTCCAGCGCATCACAAAAACACTGTAGAGGTCTTAATAGTAGTTACAAAATTAAATAACACATTAGAGTTGCAGGCAGCCCAGCAGCAGTAGCAGCGGCTGCTGTGACGCCACGGAGCTGTAGACAGGAGAGGCAAGGTGCTGCCCTCCAGGAAAGAGGCGGGTATCTCAGGTGAATGTGCTGGCAAGATTTTTCTCACTTGTTATCTCTTCTCCCTCCCCATCTCTCTCCCTTCCTGTAGATCTGTGAGACCCAACCTTTAATTAATGTAAACAGGTGTCAGGAATTAAGGAATGAGTCTGTTTTTTTTTTTTTTAACTGCTTATCCAGTGCAGGCAAAGGGAATATTGAGGATTGGGAATGTCAAGCTCCTTGCATGAACAGTTTGCTACAAAAATGTATCACTATGCTGTCAAACTTAGTTCTTAAGTATTACTTATGGTTCTGTATTTATCCTGCAATATTTTTAGCTCTTAAAAAAAGAAGCTGTAGCTGGGGCATTTGTTGCTTCTTCCTCCCTTCTCTCCCCTGATCTAGACCTAGTGATACAAAATCATGCTGTCACATTTACTGGTTATTAAAATTACACTAAAGAATTCTGCTGCTTTTCTTGGCTGTGGAGTTTTAGCAGAGCTTTTCATTGTAAAGCCTATAAGAAAGTATCAGGATGGTTTAGAATTTGGTGTAACTGTTTCTGAAAGTGTTGGTGATTCCAGACAATTTGTGCAATTATATGGGTGACATCCTGCTCATTACCATTGTTGTTTTTAATCCTAATTATATGTGTAGTGATTCCTTTTAAGAAACTTTATTTGGGGCTTTACAGACTTAGAGACAATGAATTTTCACTGTTTTTAACAGAGGGATCCTTTTTGTAAAGGAGTATTACGGTAAATCCTGATAGACTAAATGTCCCTGGGACTGTTATAATTGAGAGAGGAAAGTATTACCTATATAGGAGAAGAAAGAAGTAATGGTATAATATTCCTGAGAAGATGAAACATAGCAAACTTCTCTTTCATTCAAAAGAAAGCAAGGGTAGGATGAGTACAACTCTTTCAGATTTGGAGGCAAAATCATTGACTGTAAATTGCCACAGACATGGGAGGGACGATAGTTCAAGGTTTGAAGGAAGTAGAATGTTCCAAACAAACAAACAAAAAAAGTTTCGTTGCAGAAAGAGCATGCCAACATAGTAGGATTGTATGGCTGCCTTGTGGAAGCTGGTAGTGAGGAACATACTATGTGATAACCTGTTGGTTCTA